TTCATTGGGGCCATTTTTACCTACCTGTCATATGGGGCCATTTTTACCGGGGCCATTTTTTCTGGGGCCATTTTTTCCGGGGCCATTTTTTCTGGGGCCATTTTTTCTGGGGCCATTTTTTCTGGGGCCATTCTTACCTACATTCGTTTCCATATATGTAACCATAAATAAAAGACAAATATAGCATGTGTATATTCAGCCGTTTGTGGTATTTGGTGAGTTTCTGTAAATGGTGGGTGGATAAACGTAATAGATGAAATATGAAAGTTCAAATTCTTTTATTTGTCCAACTTGCATAATACAATGTGAAAGTATGATTTTTCATTTGCAGGCATAGAAAAACATGCCTTGGTTGTACTGTAGTAACAATAGCATTTCTCAAATTTCAATATAATGTTAACTTTAGTTTAAGAATTAACATGTGTCAAATGCTGAATAATTTGCATGTTTCCATATGTTACCATCAGTAAAAGACAACGGCAGGGATGCATGGATCGATTTACTGTACTGCATATTCTATTTCAAATTCACCTTCTATTCTGGTATTTGATGATTTTCTATAAATGTTGGATATTAGGGTAATAATGGATGAAATAAGAAAGATAAACTATTTTTATTTGTCCAACTTGTAAAATATAATGTTTGAAGTACTGTATGATTTCTATTGCCAGACATACAAAAAAATTGTAAAAATCTTAAAGGTGATCCCAACCATGAAAATAGTAATAAAAAACAATTTAGGTCCTGATTAAAAAACAATTAGAAGCCTGATTAAAATGGTAAGAAATAATTATTTATTGATTTAAGGCCTTATTGAAAACATAATTAAAAGCTGCATAATTAAAACCTCATAATTCACCAGATTAAAACCTCTTAAAAATTAAGCACCGACTGACTCTACAACTATTGTGAATTTATTGACTAAGAATGCAGTATAAATTATGTGTTACGTATACCATATTTTTATTTTCAGATATTTATAATTTTGATGAGTCATTAACTAATGAGCAATTACAGATACAAAATGTTGTATCAGAAACGAGATCACAGCGAAGCGCAGAGCAAGCGGTTATTACTACCAATGAAACTATAGTAAGAGAAAAAATATATTTTTTGTGTTTCAAAGACTGGCTCTTAAATGGTCATGTTATAATTAATTGTGAGTCACATTCATTATTTTATGCACATTAGAAAAATCTAGAAAAACACCAGTATATATTCTATTAATTTGGTTTGGAGGATTAATGAAAGTTATGCCGAATCAACAAAAAAGGCAATAAAATATGCAGTTAACCGAATGGAGTATTTTGCCAGCTTCAGCAGTGATTATTTGAGTTTATTTAGCCAAACCTGAACTTGATCGATTCCTAGGCCTACTATTGCCTAGGCCGGTTTTATGCTGTACTTCGAAAGAAAGATGGGTCATTGTATTCTAAGAGAGCATGCAGGCGATCCGGAGAGATACGTGTATACGAAACAATAATGAATGTATCTTATTTGTACAATGCGGTAGAACATTTCATTCGGTCAACGAGGCATAGCCGACGAGTTGAATAGAACACCCAATCTTTCACCGAATGAAATATTTTATCCCATTTCACTCATAAACATTCATTATTTGTATAATGCATAGTCAATTCACATCTAGTAACAGGTATCAGTAGACTGTTAAAGGACAAAATGATGTTTTACCATGGGTCCACATTTATCTTTCTATGCATGTCGAAATAAAGTACAGAGATTTTCATTTCCTGATTGGCTGATGGGTGTTAGAGTAGAATGAAGTAATTGTTTGGTACATTTAAGAGTTTAGCCGTACAATCCCATGGACGTAAGTTCAATCATGGAGCAAATTGTAGGATATTTCTTATGATCAAAAACAACTTCACTTCCTTCAATCTTTGTAGTAGCCTTTGCTATATTGAGGGTATTGAGGATCCCCTTATAAGATAACCACAGTAGTTGACTAGTATTCCAACAGTGTAAAAGAATACATGCGTCTACAAACACAAAATGGACTCAAGATAGAAGCTCCATGGTATTTTGATGTTCATCTGAGAATAGGATACACTTGCTGATACAGTAGGTGTGTTCATTTTAGACCAATTAATTTTAATTAATATTAACGATGATTTCCATCCTGTTCTCTCTGCTAGGTGTTTTAGCCGATGAACGTGGGAAATGAGGAAAGCGTTTACAATTACACACACAATTAATTTACGTCTGTGATTAAAGCGCCAGTTCTATTATGTCATTTTTTGATAGCCCACACTTATTTTTTCAATGCCTATAAAAAATTAAACATCCTGTTATTGACTGTAGTGTATTGTAGTAGCCCCATTTAGATGTGCTTACTAATGGCTGTTTAGAATTTTCTGTAAGCATTGGCCTAACAGCCTCTTTCAAATTTGAATATATAAAATCTAATTTATTATGTTGGTTAAATAGAATTTCCTGATTACTATGGATGGTAATAGTACTGTATGTTGGATATTGATTTGTTCTTTATTGGATTTTGGAAGTGTCGGTGAGAACATCTATTTATCAATCTTATGAGTAAGTCATGTTAAACTGCCCTTAATAATTATTTTTTAATTTAATATAGGAAATGAGAAAATTTTCAATTAAATTTAATATATTGTATGGTTTGGAATTTTCATATTTCCACCAAATAATTTCCTAGAAGTATAAGTACTATAAATAAACTATTTTAATAAAAGTACTATACAAATTACTGTTCGAAAAGAAATTCCTTCAAAGGGACCACCAGATTTGAAAGACATTAATCTGTAGGCTTTTGCCCATAATTAGGCCTTCATCAGGTGTTGTGAAGTTGTTAAATACAGTAATACCGTAGATACAAGCGTTTCGAAGAAAATTAATTTTATTGGATAGAAATGTAAAGTATATAAAATAAATTGAATTGGATACAGTATAAATAATAATAATAATAATAATAATAATAATAATAATAATAATAATAGTAATAATAACAATTCTTTATTGGTCCTCATTCAAATTGGAAATCAGAAATTTGGGCTGGGCACGTGGAGACCCATGGCAGCCACAGTTCAGCACCACCCAGCTCCACCACAACATAAGTTATGATTGTGTATAAAGTGTATAAATTTATTTAAAAAAATGATAGCACATTATTATCACTATCACTGTTGTTATTATTATAGAAAATATTACTACTACTGAAGGTTAGCTAGTAAATGAAATAATGTGTAATAACTCAGTCAATTTATAGGGCTTAGGGAGTTAGGTTGTCAATTTATGGGTCTCAGTTACATTAGTCACTCCCTAAACCTTGTAAAATTGACAACTCCATTTTTAAGCCTTTTAAATTGACTTTGAGGTTATAGAGCATCCCATTTTTTTCATTTTAAATTAGCTGACCTTCTTTGAGAAGCCAGTAGGAGTCGTCCTCTATAAATATGTTAAAAGTACTTGTTTTAAACCCTATCCACACTATCAAATATTATTTGGCAAAAACATGGGACATGCCTATATGTGGTCATGTTTACATCACATCATGACCATATATAGGTACATCATGGCTATATATGGGCACATCATGACCATATATAGGTACATCATGGCTATATATGGGCACATCATGACCATATATAGGTACATCATGGCTATATATGGGCACATCATGACCATATATAGGTACATCATGACTATATATGGGCATACAACAGTTTCTTTGCCAAAGAAAATTTGATAGACGGGGCTTAAGAATTGGAGTTGTCTGTGGTATCATATTTAGGATTTGAACCCACGACTGGGATTGGAAGGCAAGCATTTTATCTACCAAGTTACAGTTCCACTACTCTGCGCATAGTACCACTACAAATGTAAAGTAAACACATTTGCCCAGGGTTTTTATTAATATGTTGAGATTTGCACCAAAATCTTTAACATATTGTACAGATTTTGACCTGCCATCGCTTATTGAATAATCCTATTGGCTTATCCTTGACCAGGTCATTGACTATGTTTCCAATGTTCCATAACTGACAAATCATTTAAGATATGTCATTTCTGGTATTCCCATGTAATTACAAGTGCTAATGTAATTTTATCAGAAGATTGTATTTCATTGGTGGTTTGGAAGTGAAATACTGACAGTTTGCTGCAAGAATTGGTTAACAAAGATGCACATGCCAGCCATAATGTCTGCGACTGTCGTTATCGTATTTAGGACGACGATCCTTTATATCTGCGTCTTAACGAAGCTCATGCATCATTTTGACCTGATTAGATGTGCTCGCCATAATGTCTTCGAGAGAAAACAGGTCTTCCCAGGTCATTGAACCAAAAATAAATATTAGTATTATGTACTTGTAGTAATTTTCCATGTATTAATATCTTAACCTTCAGCCATTTGTTTCCTTAAAAAATGTTTAATATTGCATGGAGCAATTTCTACACAACTGGGAGAATTCCATTCTATCAAGCTTGTAATGTGAATACAGATTAGTCATCAAGAATTTTCAGGTACATTTTATACCCTGGATGAAGAGAAGCAGCAGAATGCCAAATGCGACCAGAATTTGAATCGAACCCAAAAATTTGAGATTACAAGTGTGACCTCTAATCATTACCATCTTTTATTTTTCTTTTCTAGGTGGATGATCATAATTATTACACATCACGTTACATTACTCAATCAGAAGAAGCTATGTCCTACTGGGTAGACTTTGATCTCTTAAACCAACCAATCACACCGCAGCAACTAGCAACAAATCATAGACAGGCTGTGGTAAGAACATCTCAACATCTCAAGCTTATCGTAGTTAGTTTAAGTTGATATTCAAACTTAAGGTGACGAGAAAAGATCACCCGGCTATTAAATTAATATTCAGGATTTAAAAATCAACAGACACATTACAAAATATATTAAGATTTATCCATTACAGAAGCAATGAAATATACAGAACTTTAAGATAAATAAATTAATTAAGGTAACTCCAAAGATTATGATGAAAGCTGTTTTATCAAAACCTATTTCAATTATGGAACTATTTGGCTGGTTGTGACCTAGTTACGGAAAGCTCAAAATAGACCTTTCTAGTATCATTTTGGAGACGCCATTGCTCTACGTGTTTTGATAATGACCCATGACCCTTTCCAGTAATTTGATCTTGAGATACTTTATGGGCACAAAGTAACTTAATGATCAGATCACCTTACAGAGTGCACATTGTTCAGTTACATAGTTAGTCCCACATTGTCATGTGATGATTAGATTTTGAGCCCGCATGAATCATACAAATCAATAGACCAATAGTTACCAAGATAAAGCTGTTATAGTGGGTATAACATCAAAACAAACCACTAGGTAGCAGTTCTTTCACACTTAATAAGCCTCTGCTCGAATAAATTTTGATGGTTTTCAAACTCCTCAAACTTCTTTATTTGTACATTTTATCGTAGAAAAAGCCTTGGTAAATTTCTTTAATAAATGTCAGAATTTTCCACCCGTTAGATTTGAAATGCAGTGAAATAAACATATAGAAACTTGAACATGTTTGCATAGCCTTGTTGCGTGAACACGGGCCTAGCCCTGGACTTGAGAGTCACACAAACACCGTCCTTCTGACTCATTTGCCATGATAGTCAAATGAAACATCTTATTCTGTAATTCACAATTTAAGTTTGTCCAATAAGTTTAAATACTTCACACAGAAATTGCAACAAAATTACTTAGTTACAGTATTAAGCTGAAAGTGTACCTCTAAATCAACAGTGATCGCCTTAGTTAGCGCTGGATGTGGCAAGTCCTGCGAGCGATTGGCCTAGGCCCCCTAGAAGGCCTCACGAAATTCTTCATATTTTTAGTCTAAATGGAAATGTAAATCAAATCAACCTTAGTCTCATGAATCATTCAAAATGTATACGTTTATATAAAAAGTATCTTCATAACATTTTAAACGATTTAATATGCACCACTTTCGACTCCACTCAGTGCATTAGCATAGTTCTTTTGGCGTTTTGTACATTTTTATACCCACTCGGCAAAACTGTGATGATGTCATCTTTGGTAAATAATGCGGTCTATTGACTGTCTATTTATTAGTAGTTTTGTTAAGTTAAACACATGCTATCTTTTATGCATACCCTCAGTCCAATTTAGTACATTTCATTCCATTTATTTTGTCACCATAAAAATACATAAACGCAGATACATTGCATGCAATGCAATGAATACTAAGTACTTACTTACCAACTGTACCTACCCACCCACCCACGCTTCGGCCGCAGCAATAAGTACAACCATTTTATAAGGTGGAGCTGATTACCAATATAAAATTTAAATAACCTGTTGCTTTCAAACCACTATAAGAGTACTCATAAACTTCATCCCAATGCCATGTACATTATAAAAATATAAAATATTAATATATGCAACTATATCTCTACTTACAACAGTATTGAATTTGAATCTTACAGTCACTAAGTGATTCACGAATAAATAATTCTTACCATCACCATAGTGTATCAGTACATACATAATGTATGTCTTCCTGCATATATGTTTGCAAGTATACAGAGAATGTTTTCCACATGTGTTCAAACAATATATTTAGAATATTCAATGGTATACCAGACATAAGAAAATTGAAACACTGATTTTCATTAGGTACTCAGCTAATTCTGCCAGTTTTTGCCAGTGAAGGCTAAATAATATAGATGTGCAGAAAATAGTAAAAATTATGATTCAATTTTGCAGAACATCCATTAATATTTAGATTAATAAATTTATTAAGGAATTATACAAAAATTATTTATATTTTCAAATGAAAATTAATGTATTTTGTTTTTGTTTCAGCCTGCCCAACTAACTTTCAACTTCCCATTTTATGGACATCATGTTAAAAATGTTCTAATCACAACAGGAGGTAAGTTTAAACTACAAAGTCTTGCATACTATCAGAAAAACATGGATTAATACATTTTATACATTTAAAACATGGATCAATACATTTTATACATTTAATTTTATACATTTTCTGAGCCTCAGATAATCACAAAAGACGAAAAAATTGTGAATTTTTTTTGGAATTTTAAAGTATATTGTGATGTGAATAATAAAAATAAGGAAAACACCAAAAATACAGAAAAAATCTAGGATTTTAAGATAAATTTGAGCATGTAATAAAAAGTCAGGGAAAATGCTAAATATGTGGAAAATTTGAGGGGTTTTTATAGAATTTAAGCAAAATAGTGAATATTTATGAAGCTGCCAGAAGTGTGGTAAAATATAGCTAGAAGATAAAGTATAGTAAATTAGTATGTATGATATGGCATGCTGTACTGCACAAATGTGTAGTTATTGACAAATTACAAAGGTTAAAAGGTCGTAACAGTAATGTAATAAAGGTTGTACGTTTTTTATTACCCGCAATGTAGAGAAACCCAGTTGATGATATTTACTACTGATTAATAAATAGTTATTCTCCTGAGAAAACACAAATGTTAGCTATCAAAGATGATCATTTTAAGGCTTTCTTGATGCTTTTAACATTATATTGCATTTTGTATGTTAATGACAATGATGCTGAGATAATATGTATGTTATAATTCAATTTAAACATGGCGGTTTTATTATCTGGGTTGTAAATACCGTAGAACCTCTCCTTTGGGACACCCCCATTATGGGAACACTCTTATTAAGGGGACACTTTTTTCGCTGCAAATTTTGTAAAAGTATATCTTTTAACACTATAATCAATCCTTATTAAGGGGACACCCCTATTAAGGTGTCCCCATAGTAGGGGTGCAGTACCTAATCTAAATTAAATGCGAAAAATCAGAGAAAATTGTTATTATTCATAGTTGTAAAATTGTTTGTGTTTGTTGTTTAAGGGTTTGTATATATGGGTGACTATTATCACAAATACTTGGCAGCAACGCAGTACATTGCTCCGTTGATGGCGAACTTTGACCCTAGTATCCATGAAAACTCAACAATAAGATATGGTGATAATGGTAATAAAACCCTTTGCTTATTTGATAAGACAGTTTTTATATTTTACTTATGTTAACATAATAATAACATAATAAATAAGCCTGTTATTTTGTTATGCATTATATAACTGATAAATCTTTTAGTAATATTTTTAATAATGTATTAATGATGATAATTTTATTTATTTTATTTAGTGCATTATTTTAGATATTTATGTCTTTGCATATAATGTATTCCATAATAGATTACAAGTACTGTAAGCTATGAAGATCCGTTTAAAAGAAAAAAAAAAAACATTTTTTATTCAATTCGGCAACAAGATAAATTTAAAGTACAAGGCGAATTCGTGAACATGGGAGTAGCAAAAGTTTTCAAAGAACTCTGTCATCATTAGTACTTTTGAAGAATTTTGTGTAGTCTATAGTTAAATTAGTATACTCTAAATGGATCTGTAATGGTTCGTCATTGATATATCCCACAATGCAATACATGTATTTAGTATGTATGAGATTACATTGATGCCAAAATGTATTGCAGGTACTATAAATACAGTGGCCTTGATAATGAATCTGATAATGTATTTTACAACTACAAGAACAAGGAGAATTCTGTATAATGCATTTACCAATACTGTATGTAATAAAAAAAAAAAACATAATTGCTCTACAAATGAAACAAGATCGTAAAGTAGAAAACAAATTTAAGATTGTTAGTAAGTAGTGTAGGTGACTATATTACTCACAGGTGGAGTTATTAAATGCCCCAGGTGGTCGTGAAGTTTAACTCACCGATATGCTATTCCAAGGTCCAAGGTGAAATTTATATATGGCTCGTCTTTATTGCATCTTCCCACAGGTACGAGATTTACGGTTGAGTGGAATCAGGTGCATCTCAAGGAGAGGCCTACAGGTAAGTACGCCACCGAGACCAATCATGTCTGTTGACTTTCAGCGCTCGTAAATTTTGTATCGTATAACATGGTAGTGTACAAAGTTTAAAGATCTGTTTTGGAGTCGTACTGTGACTTGATAGTCGGGTGCATGCTTTTTAATTCTCGAGTTCTGGGTTCGAATCGGCTGTAAATCACAGAGTTTACCACTTTCCTCGTGACTGTGATCATCTCCACTCTCTAAGCCTCACAATCAGCCTTGGCTTCAGTGAGCATATCACACGGTTTGAATCCTTCCTGTACTTGGCAGCTTGTTCGCTGTTGGCTTTGAATGACAATAAATAAAGTTTTGATTATTTTTGTCATTATAGTTGGAAATTTCACATTTCAAGTGTCATTATTGAGTGATGGAAGAATCATCTTTGTTTATAGGAAGGTTAGTAGACAAGCAGTTTTTCATGATCAATAAGTATAGTGTTTTTTTTTTACTTGATACATGAATTGTAATTAATCAACAATTCTATTATTATTATGACAGTTTTATATGGCTATGCAATAATGATATTTCATTTAGTGTATACCTGCAAACTCTCACACATAATGTGTGAGTCTCACACATGAGCATCTACGTTTAATGTCTCATGCCTACGTTGTATTATATCACGCATCAAAACAATTTTATGAAAGATAAATTGTATAGGCCGATTATAACCTAAAATTCATAAAACAATAAAATGTTAATACAGACCATATAAACTTCTTTTAACGAAGCTATAGGCCTACTGACCGACGACTGTAATCATTAGCAGTTTCACCATTGAAATTTTTAAAATAGTAACATAGAGTGTGCTATATTTCGCGATTTTTGCATATAGACCGCTATATACAAATTTTGTTTTTGTCTCGCTCATCAGATGCCTGCCAAGATTGGTTGGTATATTAGTAGATTATTCAATTAATTGTGTTAAACTTCTTTTTCTACTTAATCAATTATTTGTGAAGAATTATCTAACTTTTTATCAACAATTGCATTGTTATGACACCCCCTACAAGGCTGTGCAATAATATTTCACATTAGTAGATTAAATCAATTTATTGCATTTACTTTTGGCTTCTTTCATCATGACTCGGGCCCATTTTTTTTTTCGAAATTTCCGGTTGCTATTTTACAGGTTTAAACAAATTTATGTTATAGAGCAACTCAACAGAGACTACAGAACTTTTTATTGTCTTTTCCCACTAATCTGTTGAATTTATGTTTAAGTAGCCTGGTAGGCTGCCATGCTATTTCCAAAACTGAACATAATGAATATAGGAAGCTTCTCCACTCTACTCTATCTGTACTTAGACGTTTTATAGTCTATTTGACAGCTTTGGGCTGACTCATATCGAAGTTGCTTAATCATGCACATTCTGCTGTACGGTTTTAACATTACCAAAGAACTAATCTAGGTAGACCGGTCCACATACTGCATTCGGGAAATCTCCCCCTCCCTGAAGAGCCCCTTCCTGTATCTGCTTTCAATTACCATGGAACTAATGAACCCAAAAATGAATTCTTCACGTCCTTGGCTTTGATCAGAGTGAGATTTACTAATATAACGTAAGACAGGCGTGATTATTTGTAAGTACGTAGATTAATATCGAAGATCATTCATAGCCGAATGGGTTCCAATATATCTACACCTGCAACATGAGGTCGGCATCAGAAGTAGACTGAAACTGAGTACAATCCAGGGTTGTAGAATATAGGTCAGTGAAATAAGACATCCTTCCCAGGGCAGGGGGTCAATTATCTATAGATACTATGTGACCGGGTACCAGGATGGGATCTCCTCTGGGTGGACGGTACATAGACTTAACAGGTTCCTGTGAGCTTTTATGATTCAATGGGACTGACAGAGTGAGTAACTAAGTTCCATTTTTTTGCTGTCTGGGTCAGTTTTTAGGGCCTGGTGTTTATAATTCTGTAGAGCCTAGGTTAATTTTTCATTTAAACTTGGACCCATTTTTTATTGCCCTGGGATCATTTTAAATGTGACTAAGTCATACTTAATGTGACATAAATCTGAAGTTTATTTTTAACATTGTTTTTATTGTGATTTTAATAATCATAATCATATTAACTACACAAAATATAGCATTTTACAAAAGTCTGTTTAATCATAAATTGATAGTTGAGTTAATTTCCTTCATAAAAGGGAAGCATTAATAATTGTTTGACTTAGGATATGAGAGGAACAGTTTCCCATCCCATTGATTAATTTCAGAGTTTATTCATGAAAAAAAAATTGTAAATCAAACTAAAAGTCTTGATGAGTCAGAAGATCTAGTGTAAATTCATTTCTGATGTTACATCACTTAATCCATCATCTCGTCAGGAAGGATATGCTTGATGCCAAATGCTGATGCCGCCAGAGAACCATAAAGCACTTTTAAATTGAAACCCTTAAGCGGTTATATATAATTAACATGATCATATATGATTCCAGTCCCCTTTGATTTGAATACAATCCCTGTTTTACTTTGTGATTAGTTTGTTAGTTCATAATTTGTAGGTTAATTCCATTGGGACACCATTCTCTCCTGACAGATACTGTGTTCAACTTCAGTGTCGTAATAGATAAGGGGATTGGGTGGGGAGTTAAAGGACTCATTTAAAATGTATTTTTTTTCCACATAAAATGTATCTATTAATAAGTTTTAAAAATCTGTTTACCGTAGTATGGGTTTTTCGTTAAAAAAAATGTTTTCATCCAGTTTTTGAAAAACAATTATTTTTTTACTTCAATGTGGGTAAATATTATAATTTTTATTTTCTGAAATTTAATCTAAATTATATTAACGCAAATGTTGTTTCTAAACTGACCAATCGGCCATATTTTTTTGGTCACGTGCATAACTTAACGCTGATTAACGCATTCTGGTTACGTTAATTTTCGTTGTCAACGAAGTCTATTTTACCAACCAGTACCAATTGTGTGTGTTGACCACTGTCATTTTTACCATATTTGTTTAGTTGGTACTTCAAAATTTAATATTATAATAATATGTAGAAAAAAAACTTTAAATGAATATTGTAGATTGACTACTCAATTCCACCTTTAGCTGCCAAGGATGGAAATTCCAATCTGGTGGAGGAATATTGTAGCTGTACTTAACTTTACCACTTTCTTTCTAAAGCACTCTTTCTGAGCACCCCTCCCAGAAATGGGAGAATTATATTCCTCTACCAGTTAGAAATTCCCATCCTTGGCAGCCAAGGATGGGAATTTCAAACTGGTGGAGGAATGTTGTAGTTGTAGATGCACTTAGAAATTTACCACTTTCTAAAGCATTCTTTCTAAGCTGGCTTCTGTCTTTTGTATGGAAATCTTTAAAAAAAAAAACTACACATTGGCTAATATTATTCAACTTAATGCTTAAGATAGAGTGATGACCTAAATAAAAATGCCTCTCTTTACCTGCTAACCTTGTGCTAGGCCTGCAGATATCAATTACGCTACTTGCAGTTTAATAAGGGATTTCCCCAGTTGATATTTCATCAATGATTTTGCATCCTGGTAGACTACAGGCATTTTTCCACTATGCCTAATGCAGCGTAAATGTCCTCGTTACCGGGATATGAGCAATCACAATATTTACGTAGTGACGCCTTATATTTGTATATTATATGTTTGATACTTTTGGCAACTTTGTTGCATGTTCAAGGAAAGAGTTGTGAATCATAAATTGCCCTATTATTCGTAGTCTGGAACAGGAAAATTGAATTTCCTAAAGGAAAGCTTTCCGAGGATAAACACAACATTTGTGATCGTGGGTGTTTATCTGTCCTGAAATACTTAGAATCTGATTTTGTGTTGGAATTAATGGATATCCTTCGGTATTAGATTGTTATTTTAGCATCTTGTTTTATTTATCATCAGTCATTCCTACAACCTTTCTCATTGTCACAATCATTGTCATTTTCAGTCTGTCACTGTCATTCATTGTCTCAACCGATGTAATTTTCACATCAGAATCGTTAGGTTTTGTCATTTCCATAGTTTTTTTACCCTCACATTTGAGGCTCGCCATCCCAAATCCAGCGTACTGTCATTATTAGTGTTAAACTGAGTAATGAGCATAAATATATAGCAGCATATATACTTTAATACAGATAGAATAAAGATAACTTTTACTCATAACTTAATAATATGTTGAAGTGTGGAGAAATAAGAATATATTAAAAAGTCTATTTTCATTTTTTGGTCACTACAATGACTCATATTATCATTCTCACAGTGTTTATCAATTTCACAATCATGTTATCATTCTCATAATATATCATTTTCACAGTGTTCATTTTTCTATCGGTCTTTATCATTCCTACAGTCATCTTTGAATTATGCAATTCTCTCAGTTTCATCATTTTTAATTGCCTTTCATAATTTATTCATCAAGATAAACAAAGGATATCTAATTTTTATTTATAGTCAACTAGTAAAAAAGATAAACATAAACTTACCTTATAAATAAAAGATATCTGATGTTTTTTTTTCAAGTAGTAACTCACAGTATTTGTGTTTCTCATGGCCCTGATTGTGTTAATTAATGTCGTTTTTGCAGCGTTTATCATTCTGATGGTCTTCATTATTCTATGACAATTCACACCATTTTAGAATTATGCAATACTCACAATTTCATCATTTTCAAAGTTATTTTATATATAAAAGATGTGTTTTTTCATAGTCTAACTAGTAAAAAAAAATGATGATGAAGAAGGGTGGGGAGACATATATAAATTCAATGCATTAGGTACCTGTCATTATCTGTGAATTACGATTACACAGCAGTGTGCCTGGCTCGGATCCAAGTACGCAATCGTAACTTTAATGTGTCAGCACTTGCTTATGAGCCGGTGGTATAGCATTGCCAAACTACTTAAACTGTATACTCAGTACATCTAAGATGTTGTATTCTGGATGTGATTTTTTGGAAGAGCTGGCGCTCGGTGTCGTCATTTCCCTCATGCAATATTTTATACACTAATTGGTCAAGATATATGAGATAGGAGTTTAGCTTGACACTTTAACGTTCTAAATATAATTGGAGTATTTAACGTGGTTGAAGATTCAAGATAAAAATTGATTTCCATTCATGTTAAAGACAAGTGTAGTAATATAATGTGCTTTAAGAGGTTTAAAAGAGTAATAATAACAGTGATGTAAAAATCACAATTTCAAAATTTAAAAAAAATGCATAATGCAGAAATATGTTTATAACATGTGAGAACTTAATTACTGCTTTTGCTGCTATTAAACTTTGACCCCTTAAATTAATAGTTTTTTGTTTGTTTTATAGTTAAGCAGTTATTTCCAGTGTCCCTCATTATTTGAACTTAAAAATGTTGAAGTGTCTTTCTTTTTTAAGTGTTATTTTTTTTAATAGATTATATGTATACCAAAAATACTCTTAATAGGTTTGATAATATAATATTAAGTACTGTACTGTATTTTGTATTAAAAATTTATTATTAGGATAACTGTTATTGTTGCTGTTTTTGGTGGTATTTTCTGACAAAAAAGAATTCATGAAGATATCACAATTCACTCACATTTTGACAGTTATTAAGTTTCTACATTAACTTCAATTTTCTTAAATTTCGTTACAGCTTGCTGTTTCAGGTTCTGAAATACCTTCAAAAAGCCATCCTGTAAGGATTGGCATTACAGATGCCTACTACAACGACACCACGATTAATTCATGTAAGTCTGACTGTATCTCCATTAAGTACAGAGGCCAACAGATTGCCAAAAAGCGAAATCCATCGCTTTCCAATAACTATGAAACAGAAGTCATACATAGATAAAATGACAGTTTGTAAGGAAACATTTTGTGTGTGTGTATTAGCCAATGGCATTGGGATCATATATTCCATTGAGCTTATTATTAGAATGACCCATGTTTCTTCAGATACAGTTCATAATAGCAAGCATTTTGCCAAACTAAGCATTTTATTAACATTCATGTTGCATGTCCCTATTGGTAGTTATTTATTTTTAAAGTTGCCTTTAAATTATAATTTATTATCAAGTCTTTGCAGCAAGAACAATGTAAATGTTATTAAATGGCTTGCTATTGGCGTAACCACATTTGGATAAGTTGTACCATTAATGAAAGCCACCCTAGTATTTGCATCTGTGGGTGTGTGGTTAGGCATTTTATGTTGGCCAACATCTAATCAGAAGCAATGTTTTTAATAGGAAAATCAGATGGTAGTTAGAAATATGATGAGCATAAAATGTTTCAGCCTGGATGATTGATAAATATATAAATGTAATACAGGTACTGTATATTGTTGAATGCCCATAATCTTCAAAAGACTGGAAATTCTGTGGAGTGGAGTTGAATAGCTTAGTGGTTAAAATGCTTGCCCTCTGATCCCAGGGTCCTGGGTTCAATTCCTGTCACAGCAGGACTTTTTCTCAGTACAAAAACAACCCCACTCCGTAGGCCTCATAAAAAGACTTGGTTTATAAAGCATCATTCTCATCCTGTAAGTGGCGAGTGTGAAAGAAATTTAAAAAAAAAATATTGCTAATATGGAAAATTATATTCATGGAAGACACACGTTACAAGAGAAATTCCCATCTGATAGACATCTGTACCGATTCTTAATTTATCCTTTTGCTTTGTAATTTCCACGTTGAGCATGTTTAGAATTAGAATGAACATGTTTAGACTGACTTCCAGTGAACCTGACTGTACCAATTTAAACATCAATGAATGATTGATTGATTCAGAGCCTAATTCCATTTCAAACAAGTGGGTAGATGTATTGGGAATTTGCAAGTAAATGCCACTAGAGGAGTGTTTAGTAAAACTATTAGATGTAAATAGAATTATTCATCTCCTAACTGCTACTTGTATGTTTCTATTCATGGATCTTGTATTTCTTTTGTGTTCCCATTTTCCCAATTTTCAACATGGATTATTGACTTTTGATTTTTTTTTTTAACTTGATTTTATGTCTTCCTAAATTACTTTGAAATGTGCACGCCTCTTAAGGACAACTCAGACAGCATTGTAGAACACTGCTCGACATGTTTTATAAACGGGGACAGTCTTAAAACTGTTGTAAGAACATCAAACGTGTTTAATATTCTAAGATGCAATGCAGTCTTACAACAACCCATTACATATGTGCATATGTGCATACCATGCTGTCTGAGTTGTCTTAAAACTGTGCAAGGGGTTTGGAAATAAAATAAATAATAATTTTATTTTTTATCATGAATATTGGCAGGGTGAAGGTTTTGATGATGATAATGATATGTTAATCATTGTGTTTTGTTTTTATTATTAACAATTTTGCGTTGTAGTTTTGAAGAAGCGAACTATCTATGAATACCACAGAGTTGACCTCAACTTACAACAGTTACAGGAGGGAACTGCGTTTCATTTGACGCCGAAGATAAGTACGAAAATCTAATTGATTGGATGCATGCCCATCTGCAGCAAGCCATTAGGCTTGCCTAATTCACTTATAGTGTCTTCGAAAAAACCTAAAATTATTGTTGTTGTGAAACAATTTCATTATTATTGTCATTATTTCATTTACATTAATATTAAAGCAAGACCAATAATGATGATTTCGAATAAAAACAAAATTTTATTTTTTACCAATTAGCACATCCGCCGCCTCAAAAAAGTGAAATTTAAAAAAAAAAAAAGTTTTTCTATATATTATGCTCGTCACTGCCTTGAAATCTACAAAAATGTATATTTTTTCCTAATTATATAAATTTTAAAAAGCATTAACAGTTATTTATTTCTTCTTTAACCTGGGTGGCCTATTCAGTGCTCTCCCACTGGGCCCAAAATTGGTGTTAATAATAATAAGTAATAATAATGATAATAATAATCTTTGAAATAAAAATGTTTTATTAGTATTATTGGAGGTTTTGGGTGTTTTTTTTATATAATCATTCTGCTTTTTTGGTACACCATGTGTAAAATTTACACACCATTTTTTTTGGTGTACCGAAAAGTGATTTTGTTATTGATACTCGCCATGCAAACCATCAAAAAATATTTTGGGTGTTTTTTTTTTATAATTGTTAAAAGTGAGCTTCAGCTTGGTGGTTAGGATGCCTGCCTTCCAATCCCAGGGTCCTTGGTTCAAATCCTTTAAAAACATTATGATCCATTAAAGAAACTTAGTTTTTAGAGCATTGTTCTGTCTTGTAATTGGCGAGTTACTTGCTATTGGATGTGAAAAAGAACTTTATTATTAAAAATATTTATAATTGTTATTGTTACCCTATATTCACTTGTTACTGCCATTATTATTGTTGATGATGTAAATGGTTTTCTTTTGCAGCATGCAACATGTTTACAACTTGCGAGGAATGTACGCAGTCGTATATAAACTTTACCTGTACGTGGTGTGAGGTGGTAGGGCGATGTTCTAATGGTTTTGACCGTTACCGTCAAGAATGGTACGATAATGGATGTTCTAAAAATGTAAGTGCAAATGCTTTTTGAAAAGCCTACAGTGGACGTCGTAGGCCTAGGTAACCTCGTTCATAGCATACATTTATTGATTTTTACGAATCTCCCAATTTACGTACCCCCTGCGGTCCCGTACTGTACGTAAAATCGGGGTTCTACTTGTATTTGGCACATAAAACTAGTGTGGAAAGTTGTTTATGCTGAGGACTGAGGTTAAGAATGGCACTATCTCTGATATGTCTCCGTGCATAATGGTAATGTTCGGTTTCGACCCCTTCAGCAACAACAATCTGCACTGGTAATAACTAAGGCATTTAGCTCAGTAGAGCTTCACAATGTTACCACAAATGTCACTGGTTTAATTCCCACACAGCTTTAATTAATTACAGATTTTACGGATTGATATAAGTTTCTATTTCAAATTCTAAAGCCATATAAATGTATGTTGACCAGGCATGGACATTGTGGAAAGTTTATTTCTGGTTTTTTTTTTATAGTCAAACTTTATCAACCTCTTGCACCAGTGTCCCTCCTCAAGAGTAATGTCAACTCCAAAGTTCATCAAACCGACCCTTAAAACAAGTAAGTTAACTCAAGAATGGTGTTGTTTTAATATCATTTATTGGTATCCCACCATATGAACATTTGGGATACAGTACATCATTTTGAATTTTGTTATTTACACAAACTGCTATACAACTATCAATGGTTATGGTTACCACTGCTGCGACACTGCTGTGAGTGATTATCTTATACACATCTAGATGTGTAGACATTCTAGAGTGTAAAACATTTTTATAAAGTATGAGACTGCCATTTCAAGACTGTTCTCAGCTTTGTTCACGAAGTTATGGCCTGAGTTAAAGCTTACCTCCATGCTTGAAACAAGGTAATTTGCTTCTTTCATCCATAACATACATAAAGGTTTGAACTCAAAAAATATCGGCGGAAGACACCCGAGAAGGTGCCAGCGTGGTCCGGGGATTATTATTATTGATATTATTTATTATTATTCTTATTTATTGTTTAGTGACCTAACAGCACTTCATTTCCCATTGTGTTTGACACGTCGGTAGACCCATAACCTGTGGGTACCATAAACAATTAGACTCTGGAAAAAATTGTAAGGGAATTTTCAGTATAGTATGCTAATAATTAGTTTTTATTATGATGAAGATGGTGTTTGTTTGTGCTTTTTAGCATTTAATTATTTAACAAGCATATGGCTGTTGGTTTTTCAGTGTGTTACACAGTTTTATGACAATGAAAATGTTGTTTTTTTTATTGTACATTATAATATTTATAAGTATAGTTCTTTGATAACTGGAACATTCTGAATATTCAGAGCTTGAACAAACATGTTGCTGCATTTAAATCGTTCAGAAATTATCAATATTGAAAAATGGAGCAGGTTCATATAGTTCTTTTTCTCATGCCTATGCCTATTATGCAGATATATGGCATTTTGTTACACCGTTTTAGTAGCTTTTTAGATTTAATTTGAAAATAAAAAAAGGTGCACAGTACATAATTACAGTAACCCATTTAAAAACAGTCATATTTCATAAAGGCTTCTGCACTGTAATTGGTCACCATGTTTAATAGCAGAATATTCATGAAAAAATAATTAAATTGACATAAAAAAAATATACTGTTTCATTAGTGATATTATCTTGATGTAGGAACATAAATTTGGGCACCTTTGTCATTGAATTTAGACCATTGGTACTCTATTATTATCATTATTATTGTTAATGTTATAGAATATAGAATATACCGGTAATTGATTACTTGTTTTTTCTTTCTTGTCAGTTTTGAGCTGCAATAACAATCTATGTGCAGCTAACGCCAAATGCCGTCAGCTTGCTAACGATATCAAGTGCATATGTCCCACAGGATATGCTGGAAAATACTGTAAAAAATGTATGTATACTGTCAAAGACGTTTCAATTGCCAAATGGTTCTAATTTGGCAATCTATCTCTGTATATAACATAAAAAAAAAAAAGAAACAATATTCACCATTTAAAAAGTAGAAGATACATTCATTCATGATATATGACCATCCAATTTTAAGGCCCTGCTAATCCTGAGACCACTCTCATTTGCGACTACTTTCTCAAAGTATTAACTAACAATCTTTAGTCTTCTAAGGCAAAGCTCTGGTGGTGGAACAAGTCTTCTCAGATAAGGACTTTAACCAGTGTACACGCATTTGGCTTTTGTGCATTTTAGAGAACCCAGTACATCTTCGAGAAGAGTAGGGGGTTACCCCGGTGTACCCTTGGTTCATTCAGTCCCCTGTCGTTTAATGGATGTGTCACGTAGGATAGTGATTAAGTTCACTGATTGGCATATCCTTGGTGCTCGTGCCTAAAGAAATGAATTGCAAAAAAAATGAAATTATCTGAAGATGTACAGTAAGACCACCCTACAGAGTCCCAAAGGTGGTCTTGAATCAGAGGGTATATTATTGAAATTTTGAATAATGTTATTTTTTTTTTTTTTTTTTTTTTTGCTGTTGATCCTTTTCCAGTCACTGGTTCAGGTAATGAGGGCGATACACCCCAGTCTAAAAAACAAGGCACAAGGAACCAGGAAAACCACCGTACTGTAGGGATCTGGGCGTTGGTGTTCATTGCCTTCACAGTAATCTTTGCTTTCTCTGTGTGGATTGTGTATGCCTACCGACACCCCACCTCCAAGTCTGGCATCATGTTGATAGAGGTAAGTTACAGTTAATAGTTTATTAAGAAAACATTAATTTTCTTTTTGTTAGGTCTGATAGTTAATTGTCATGAAATTGCAATAACAACTTTCCTCTGAAGAATACATCAATTAAATTACTAAAAATAAGGTAAATATTCATTGACTTTACCATAAAGCAAATTAATTGAGTTCTTAAATTCACGTTATGATATTATATTGAACGTTTAGTATTATGGTTCAATCAGTGGGAAGGATTATTCTGTTTTATTTTAAATAACAATGGCAGATTTTTTAAGGCACAGGGAGAGAGAGAGAGTGCCACTCTGAAATTTGCAGGACACACAATAAGCTGTAAAACCGGTTTCTATTATTTTGTCCGTAATTTGTTACCATGGTATTCTTCGATGGTAAGAATCAAATATAAGGATACATTTTAGTACCACTGAAAATACTGATATTGTGACGCATTCCCTAGTTTGTGGAACATTGTAGTAGACCTTTAAATTGAGTTTTAGGGTTTTTCATAATAAAAGTATGTAAATCGGCAAAAACTTAAATGTTTTTATCTGTGTCCAAGTAGAATTTGATAAAATTTATGCATGTCGTATAGCTGTGCTGCACACATTCATTGATATACATCTCTTTACATCTATCTCTCTCCACAGATTAGGCATTTGAAGTGTAAGAAGCGAGAACCATCAATCGGAGTAAAATATCATCATCCAGACGAGGAGATCGGTGAAATTTAAAAATGTATAAAGAAACCAATAACCAATAAGTTTTTTGTTAATAGTTTGGCTACGCTGGTTTTGTAAAAAAAAAAAACAACTTTTTTTATTGGCTGAAAAAACAATATACACTGGTTTTCAATATCTGTTTTTAACCTGATTGTATCAAAATGGATATTAAATTTTATTAGATCAAGGGCCTGTTATGAGTTAGTGTGAGTTCCCTGTCGGTTATCAGGGTAAAAATCAATTGAATGTTAAATAAAATAGTAGCTTATATATTTTACTCTCATAGAATGGGGTTAGAGTATTATGAGATTTATATAGTGTAAATTCCTAAATTTGTTGCTCTTTAGAATACTTTTATTGAGGAAGATTTAAATAAATTATTACCGTATTTAATCGAATAAATGCCCCAGGGCGTTTAAGGTTGAGAACGATTTTTGAGGGAGCTCTTTAATCGAGAGAAGCCTTTATTTTTTTTTAGTGTAAAATGGATATGTATATGCTCGAATAAACGCCCCTTAATTCAACTGTTAATGTGGAACTACAGCACCCAGTTACTGTGAAAATGACTTACTGTTTCAAACAGGTTAGAAAATATATAATTTTACTGGAGTAGAACATTAATAGAATGTGTTGAGTACGATTTTTGCTTCCATTATATTTGTTGACAGTCATTTAGGAGGCATTTATTCGAGGAAGAAAAGTAAATGCCCTGGGTGTTTATTCGAGGAAGCATTTATTCCAAATGAGGCACTGAGGTGGGGGTGGGGAGGGGGAATTTATTTGAATTAATACGCTATTTAGATTTTCACGTTATGGAATGCTTGAGATTAAATTGAGTAATTTTGCCTCATATGCAGCAGGTGCGTTTCGTACTGCGAGCTGTTCACACGTTTTATCCAGTCTCTTTGCAATAGAAATTGTATTTTCCATGTGCCTTGTATATTGTCAGTTAATAGGCAGAGCAAATAAAGGTTAATCAGGATATAAATGAATGTGTGGAGGTGAGGATGCACTTGGTGTGTGTGTGAGGGATGGGGAGTGTTTGTGTGTGTGAGGTGTGGATGTGTTTGTGTGTGGAAGGGGTGAGGTGAGGATGGAGATTCACTTATGTAAGTGTGTGCTGAGGTATCAATGAGGGTGTATTTGTATGTATAAGGCTAAGGATGCATTTATGTATGTATGTTGGGATAATGATGCATGGATGGGGATGCACATATGTTTTAAAGGCCTGAGAATGCACCCTGCATGCATGTGGGGGTCGGGTGAACATGCACTTTTCTGTGTATGTGGAGGGGTTTGTACTCTGTGGATTTGTGGGGTTGGGCATTCACTTTTCTGTGTATGTGTGTAAGGGTTTGTATACACATGTAGATTCATGTGTAGTGTGTTTAATGCAATTATATCTGATCAGATGGAAATGTGTAATTGGACATGTCTGATGGATGGTGATTCTAGATGAATACTTGTATATATATACATATATATATATTGTTTGAGAAATATTTTTTTCTTGTTTTATAGTATATGCTGCTGTTCAGGTTTGTAAAACTGGTTCAATTTTTTAAATTACATCTTCATTTTGTATCCACACTTTTACTAGTTTCAGTGAATAATCAATTATAAATAGAAGTTGTACTTATCAACTTAACAAGTCTTGCCTAACATTTTGTTTGTCTTTCTAGAGCTGAATATGAACAAAAAATTGTTTAAATTACACTTATTCTTTGCAGTTATAGACAGATGTTTACTATGTTTTTCTACTTGATTCTGAGTGCATAAAATATTAGAAGTGTTTGTGAATTTATACACATTTCTTTGGAATTCCTCTCTGGTGAAATGTTAATGGAATGCCACATCACATCAATCGGATGTCATAATAGAAAGCAATAAACAGATTTGTGTCAGTCAAGCATGTTAAAGAGAAATATAGACGAGTACATACACTGTTGTAAAAAAAAAAAAAAAAACCGCTTGAAAATTAAGTTAAAACATTTAGTTGGTTAACATTTCAGTCTGTGTGATCTTCAAACTACTGAACTACTGAACTACTACTACTTAAGTTTAATATTAGAATTAATTAAAATTTTAATAAGTTTATTTCTAAGTGCTTATTAATATTGATTTATTACATATTAATATGTAATTAATATTAATTACATATTCCTTTTTTTACAGTCCTAACTTTAATTCCATTGAACTAATTACAATTTTTATAGATTATTTTATCGTAATTTTACTGCATATTTATTTTTTTTTTAAACAACTAGACTGTACAAAATTAATTTTTGCAATTGGACACGCACTTTTAAGAGACTGGTAATTTATGCAAATTTATTCAAGCTCACCAATTAGCAAAATAGTTGGAAATTAGGCAGTGGCTATTATTACGTCAGTTTTAAAAGAATTCCTAACTGGTTAAATTGTTGCACGCACTTCTAAGAGATTGATAATTTATGCAAATTTTTTCAAGCTCACCAATTAGCAAAATAGTTGAAAATTAGGTAGTGGCTATTATTACGAATAATACAGATTAAATTGTTATTGTATCATATTTGATTAAGACATCATCATCATCATTAAATCAGAATAAAGAATTCGTATTCACTGGTACAGTATAACAATAGCCACTGAGTTTAAAATATTAATAAGGAATTTGATATTATGTAATTTGTGGTTTAAGGGAATAAAGTGCTCAGTAAATGAAAGTGTGATGCAAGATCAAAGAATCATTTTGAAGAATGCATGCATTTGAAGTTTGAAGGTTTAAATTGAGGTGTTAAGTATTATTATTCGAAGTCTAAGCACATGTTCAAGTAACAATTTTAACATTTGCAACAAAGCAATAAAAAACTAATGCACCTTCCAGCTAAGCTGGATATTGTTGCTAAGGACCCGCTAAACGACAGGAATTAAAATCAAAATACGCAAACACGCATGCGTTTGGGACAACACGTGTGCTTGCTAGACACGCGCGTATTGCTGGCCCTGTTCTGATTGGTTGGTTGTTAAGTTTTACACTCCGCCGTGGCCGGGAAGGTTCATTAACGCATCTGTCGGTTTTCAGGATAAGATGAAGCTTTAACGTTAAATATTCGTAATGTAAATGGCAATTTATTGTGTGTGTATGTTGATAAGATAATGTCATTGTTCTTAATTGTCTTCCTCATGTTTCTGATAATAAACCAGCTTAAAATCAATGTTTTCTGATTGTGTTTTGGCTATGGTTTAGTAACCCGGATCGTTTTTTCTTATTCTGTTAAAACTAAACTTATATGTGTATCAATCAAGAATCATGAAGATTGATATTGCGCCAAGTCCATCATTCGGTGTCATTTAGAAATCAAGAGAAATATTGAACAATGGATTGGTGAAGATAAGATTGGCGATGGATGAAGATGGTGATTATTATTATTATTATTATTAATATTATGGTGAGGTCCATGTCAGTAGCGGTTTACGACGGTGGTGGCGTCGGATCGGCTCTAGTGATGATGGTGGTGATGATGATTCTTCCAATGACAAGTTCAATTTATTTCACTCGTTTGAAAAACTTAATGTACTGAGTGTCGAATGGTCACTAAATGCAAAGTTTGTCTAAATACAAGACTGATCTAGAATTGTGACCAAAAACGCCTTAATTATATCTTTCTTCACCTATTTGTTAATCTTCACCTATTTGTAAATCTCTTTCAACAGTACTGTAATGGTAAGAACGTTGATGTTTATCAATATGGAATTAACACTGAGCCCGGATCATATAGGAAGGTCTAATTCTCTCTATAATATAGGCCCAGGCCTAATAATTGTAACTGTATACATTTTAAATGTTAAAAATGCGAGAGTTAAATAAATCTCCTGACATGATGGATATACCGGTAATACTAAACTACAAGGGCTTCGTATTGACTTATTCAAATACAATAGGAGCAATTCATTTCTGTGGTTATGTTGTTGAACTCGGCAAGTATGTGCATATTTATGCACATCTGACTGTTATGTACTTTTGGTACTAGTGCATATAAGCTTTTCTGATGATGACATAATTAATGTCGAAATATTGAATCCCAACACGATGGCGTGTATTTCAATACTTGGAGTATGTATTATACTTTCTTATCTGACTGTTATGATTATGGGAGTGTATAATGTACAGTAATTACTGTATGCATTCAAATGGATACTTACCCTCATATAATTTCAAATGTTTTCCTTCTACTAACCTTAAGAAAAATTCGCTAAGGAAGCTACTTAGAGATTGCTGTACTAAAACTGTATTTA